TCTTGTGGTTATGGCAACTCATATCTGGTATATGCTGATGTACTCAGTAATGCTAACATGCACAAGGAAAGGAAAGAATTGTATTTCTAATTGCAAGTAAAAGACAATGTAGTTTATTTTGGCTACACAAAACTCGGCAATGAGTAGTGAAGGCTAATCATTAAATTGTCTAAACAAGACTGAGGTGGTATAGTAGTTAGTGAGCTTGCTGCCGAGACAATGGCTCATGTTCAATACTCCCAAGTGGCAGGATGTTTTTCCCAATCAGTGTAGTTTTTAGGGCAATGAACTCTCATGAAAAACTGTATTGTCTGGGAAGGTAAGATAACAAGACAGGGAACAAGCCACCACACTTCATATGTCCACATAAATATCTGAAAGCCTAACACTTAATATCCCATTGGCAATATCCACTATGAGATTAACTCTTTCCTTTAAAACAACGTTATGAATGAATGTAGGACTGTAGTCAATGCCAGAAAATCTGTATTATGAATAATAAACTAGCAATCATGGCCTGAAGCTGAAAAATTTAAATTTGCACAAAAATGCCATGCTAATATGATCCAATACCTGAAGTCAGATGTATCTGCCAAAGAAGTAAGATGTGTCTGTCAAAAAACAGGTACAATATAATTGCCTCCAAAACAAGAAATGTCAGATGAAGAAGAGAAGATATGACATGGTACATGATCTTGTCATGTATATTCATCTCATTTGTCTGTATCGAGAAAGCCACATTGTGACTTAAATAGATCACATCATGAACATCATGTGATGTGGCTGATTTGTTAATATAATTTATGTAATGTATAGCAGTTAATATCTTGATGCACTAGAAATATGCTGTTGCTCTAGGAACTCAAAGTCTATCTAAATACAACACATAAATTATTCTAGTAAGGTAGTGATGCACAAGAAACTCAAAAACATTTGTGAAAAATGACATTAAATTACTTTGGTAATGTGTAAAAAGTTAATCTGTTGATGCATCAAAAACTCAAAATCTATCGAAAAAATGACACACTACATTATTCTGTTTATTTATAATAAAAGATAATTTAGTGATGCACTAGAAACTCAAAACCTATCCAACATATGTTACATCAACCCTGTGACAGTCACTTTATTTGTATGCTAGAAACTCAAACCTAGCTCCATCATGACATTCTGGTAAGATATAAACCGTTTATTTATAGATGCTTTAAAAACTCAAAACAGTTTAAAACATGGCATAATTAATCAGCTAAAACCATAAAAAGACAAACCTTTACTTCATAAAACTGAAGTTATTTAAACAAAGAATAACAAGATGATATAATCAGAGAATTTATTATTAAACTGTTATGTCAAATCAGTCATTATGTATCAGTGTGAAATGGAAAAAAACAAATAAATTTCAGTTTTTCCCCCCGTTAATAAAGCAGCAAAAAGAGTAAAGCAAATTTACTAACTGGTATTGACTGACAATAATAAGAAAATTTAATAAAGCCTTACACAGCTGGAAAGCACAAAATAAAAATAAATATAGATTTCAAATTGTGCAACTAATAATCATTAGGTTAACGTATATTAGCTAAACACTGGCATATTATGTAATAATGATTTACTGTTTCTTTTTTAGTTAATAAATGGCGGGTTATTTAAATACTGTCAATTGTCACTGTTTTATTTCATTTCATATGTTAAAACCTGGCGGATATTTATAGTTATGAAGATACTGAAAACTTTGTGATATACAGGCAAAAAAGGATACCTGGAGACGGTGAAATGATGCAACAACCAACAATAGATGTTTAATGCAGAAGGGGAAATGATGCAACAGCCAACAATAGATGTTTACCGGAGATGGTGAAATGTTGTAACAGCTAACAATAGATGTTTACCAGAGATAACAGCTAACAATAGATGTTTACAAGAGATGGTAAAATTTTGTAACAGCTAACAATAGATTTTTACTAGAGATGGTAAAATGTTGTAACAGCTAACAATAGATGTTTACTAGAGATGGTAAAATGTTGTAACAGCTAACAATAGATGTTTACCAGAGATGGTGAAATGCTATAACAGCTAACCACAGATGTTTACCAGAGATGGTGAAATGCTATAACAGCTAACCACAGATGTTTACCAGAGATGGTGAATTGTTGTAACAGCTAACAATGAATACTTGTAAGGATGTTAATACAAACTTCAGATCAAACACACTGTGTAACTTACCTTTTCAAAGCTACATATTTTCATTTACTTTAAGTTTTGTGTTTAGAATCACATATTTCTTGCAGTATACAATTTACTTTTAAAGTCCTGTATTTCATGCAGTATAACGTCAAATTTTTTAAAGTGACCTATTATATTTTGCAGTTTAAAACTACAAAATGAAAATGATTAAAAATCTGTTAGGCACAATACATTTTGAAAGGCATATAACTGCTACTGTTTCTTCTTTGACATCCACTAATTCAATCACTATAAAAATGTATGTGACACAATGCAAAATCATTGTCCAAGTCTCTAATTTTAGCAATGTTTAAAACTATACAGCAATTGTGGCTTAGGCATTGTGAACATGCTTTGTAGTGCCAGGGTGTCAGGTTCAAGCAGTATGCGATCTCGCAGCAGACTGGCTTACATTGGTTTAGGCAGCAGTATCAAAAGCCTGCTGTTCAAAAAGCAATGCCAAACTACTAAATGTAAATTTGCCTAGAAAAACCACAACAGCAATATATGCTGAGGTTGGTTCTGCCTGTAAAGGACAGACAATTAAATTACTTCATAGCAAGACAAGAACACAATTAGAAGTGCAAGATAACAGGCTGAACCAAGGTAAGTATCTGGAATAAAACTGGAATTTGGTGTGCTCTTGCTATATGTTACCTCCCTTGACAGGAAATCTGACTCAAGAAAGCTTCCCTAACAACACAAATGATTTTTTACATAATTATCCACCTGTCTTTCAAAAATATCAACTATAGTTAAATACTGCTCATAAACAATTTCAGATGGATGAAGCATTGGTTAGATAAAGGTTTATGGCAACTTCAACAGAATGTAACAATGACCCCAAGCTTTAGAAATGTAACTTAGTATGTTCTATTCTCTAAGCAGTGTTAAATAGGGACTAATCAACAGTGTAAAATATTAGTCAAGGACCTTTTAACATAAGTTGTTAATGTGGCTTATGGTGTCTAGGCCAATATATTTTAAAGTCTGTCTTAACATTTTTATTCAGTGAAGTAATAGTTTACCACTGTCAAAGTGGTAAAGTTACATTTTTCCTAAACACTTCGCTGAGGAAGAAGAAAGTGTAGTGAAGTGTCAGCATTAGTAAAATATCAATCATAAAAGTTATAAATGACTGTGATTTCAGACTATTACAATGCCAATACCTCTGAACAAAGTGCTCGTCTAAAACAAAGATATTATTTAGTGAAATAAGTGTATGCAAAGTAGTGTGTCGACCAGGAATTCAGCTGTATCTTGTTTCTTGGCTAAAGAACACACATAAAGTACAAACAAGTGTGAAATACATCACTTCATAAAGGCAACACCATTCAACCCTGAGAAATATTTTAACAAGTGAAAATATACTGTGCCATGACATCATTACCAACAGGTAATTTCCATGTCTTAGCTATCAGAATGATAATTGTGCTAAAGGACATCCAATGATGACTGGTTCTGGACAACAGAGTCGATACTACCACACCAACTTATCCTGACAATTGCGCTTAGGAACAGTCAATGATGATTAGTTTCAGATAGTGTATTGATGGTATCCACACAAACTTATCATGACAATTGTGCTAAGGAAAAGCCAATGACGATTAGTTTTAGATAGTGGAATGATAGTATCCACACCAACTTTTCCTGAAAATTGTGCTTAGGAATAGTCAATGATGATTAGTTTCAGATAGTGGTATGATAGTACCCACACAAACTTATGACACTTGTGCTAAGAAACAGTCAATGATGATTAGTTTCAGATAGTGGAATGATAGTATCCACACCAACTTATTATGACAATTGTGCTAAGAAACAGTCAATGATGATTAGTTTCAGATAGTGGAATGATAGTACCCACACCAACTTATCATGACAATTGTGTTAAGGAACAGCCAATGATAATTAGCTTCAGATAGTGGTATGATAGTATCCACGCTGACTTATCATGACAACTGTGCTAATGGACATTCATGGTGGCATCAATGTACACATTATGTCATATTCTCACTAGACGATTAGTGATCATCTTTTATGATCTATGAACCACAAAACACCAACTTATACCAGTAGGCCTTCTTGGAATGCTAAATACCCAGCCTATAAATAATCCTGCTTATCTGAAACTGATCTGAACAATACACACATTTTTAAAATTTTTATTTTAACCTGCCTTGACAGTGATAGCACAACGGTCTATCTCCGCCCCACTGAACAGTTATATATTAGTACTTCAGTTGGAAAAAGATTTAAACACTTAACACATAATTCCTTTATACACACAACAATTGCACAACAAACTCAATAAGAAATGATGACACTATAAAGCAGACGCAAGAATAATACAAAGCCCAAATTTGGCTATTTAATGGTTTAGATTCTTTAAAAACTTAATGTACTTAAATTTGTTGAATATTTAATTTAAAATATTGTAGTTGGATAAATGAATATAATTTAGTCATGCCAAAAATTTCACCCTGTCACAACAAACAATTTTTCCCAAATATATGCTTGTGCAATTATTATTTTAAAAGTTTGATACATTAAATCCAAACAACATCAAAAATTTAAAAAAAAATGTATAAACTGTCATGTGCTTGTACAATAAATTTCTGTCATGTCAAAAGAACTTTGGTTTGAATGTGAAGATCTGGCCACTCAACTCAGACATTTAGCAGCTGAGTTTGTTATTTAACATATTTACTATACAGAATGAGATATATTACAGTACGATAATAAACCCTTTGATTTCTTTCCGACATAGAACCTTGTGAGTTTCACAATGACTCTGATCCGATGACAAGACCCCAAACCCTGGAGAAGTTGATGCCACAGAGAATTCCAAAAACCAGGAACAGAGCCATGGTCATGCCTGCAATTGGTGAATCATTTGGCAACACACACCTAAGAGAAACAAAAACACTCCATTAGCATGGCTCACCTTATAAACCTCAATTTTTCATGACAACGGAAATAAGCATAAACAAAACATATTCACTCATTCTCACTCTATCTCAGATCTCCATCACTGTCATCTTGCTGTGGCATTTATTAATTAGAATTAGGGCTTGTGGCTGAAATCATCCATTTTGTTCTATTCTGCGCAATCCTTCTGATATTGGAACTGACTCCAGTCAGGGATCTCTGGCCTCTCTCCAGATCCTCCCTTTATTTAATGATTTCATTGATTTATATCTAGTTACCTCCACTGAATTTCAAGTTGCTACCTCCAACAAAATCAAGTAAATGGAATCATTCGTACAAATGTAACAAATGAACAGATAATGAACACCTGCATAAATCAATATATGGTATTCGGTCAAAGGGAAAGAACCCAAGTATTTGCAGATCAAATACATCATCAAAATTGTTTATGTTGGCTGGCTAATTAGAAACAGCACATGGAGCAAACCCATGTGTGCTCAGTCTCCCTTGGCAGATGTCAGAAACATCCTTTACTTACTGACCGATTATTGACTGGGTCCCTGATGACCTAGGCTATAAATGGGTATCAGAAAAAGTTCAGGGAAGGTAAGGGAGTTGGTATGATGCTGATCACATCACCCATGGAAAAATCCTGACTTGTTCACAAAAAATATTAGGCTAGCACTTCTTCTTCTTCATTTATTCCCTGACAAAGCATAAATGCTCAACCAACACATGCCAAGGGTGTCTTATCTCTGTTCTATTTTCTGTTCATTAACACAGGACATTCTGGAACTGACACAAACTAGACAAATATAGACTCAGTCAATTTCAAAAGTTATGTTCTTCCAATTACACAGACTGGATCAATATGGCAGTTATGTGAACTATAGAGAGATGACATTCACTAGACTAATCATAAACATACAGCATTAAACAGATAGGAAATATTTGGCATTTCTACAGAGTGGAGAAATGAAGTATCTAGTTGAATAAAAAAATATGTCATTCATAACAAACTGGACTAATCCGGCATCCAGGTAGAAAGAGTTGAGTAATTGTTCCATTCAAACAGATTGGACAAATCTGGTTGATACAGACTAGATAAATCTGGGCTCTGATTCAGACTAGATAATCTGGCATCCAGTTCATTAGGAAAGCTCTGGGCTTGCTATATTCAAACACGCTAGACAAATTTGGCTTAAACGGAGTGAGAATGTAATGTTTGTTTATAATAAGAAAAACAGCTAATAATAATTAATATAACTGGAAGTTTTAAAGTCACATTCTGTGTTATCCCCGTGTGGCTTCCAGGGTCCTATTAAAGGGAAAACAAGAATAGACCCATTGCCTACCAAAAAGCATGTCGTAAGAGTAAACTAATTGGGAGCTTCCTTCCAAGTCGGAGAGAATCTTCCTGAGAGGCAAGGAACCAACAACCTGCACACAAATGAATCAGATCTGTCAAACGGATGCACATGCAGCACTCAGGTTCTGAAACAGGGCTGGAATCCAGAAGTGGACAAACAACTAGAACTTTTGGCTGGAGCTTACAGCCCGTGAACACAAAGAAAAAAAAGAAGAAGACATGTTGTGTTAGAACTTTCAATGAAATGTCCATTACAGAATATTTTGTTCATTACAAAATATTTTAATCAAAATACAGTGTTACGGAATATTTCAGATAATAAAAAAAAAAAAAAAAAAAACCAGTACTTACTTGGGAGCATACATCATGACCAAGCTGCTACAGTAGCCACTGGTGAAAGAGAAGAGGATGGCTGTGGCAATGAACACTCCATCATATGGAATGTACACAGGAAGTGTTCGCAACTTGGGTCGAAAATTGCCCAGCACCATCAAGGGAACAAAACCAGCACGTAGAATCACCAAAACATTTACCCATCTTGCATTTGGCTGAAATAATAAATATCTACAATACCATATATTGCATATATCTTTGTCACTTGAGGGGAGAAAGAGAGATCCTAAACAGATACACATGATCTATGGAAGTTCATCATGGACAGTCAGTCAATTAGTGAAATATGTGGGGAGGCTGAGATGTTATGATTTAATAGCAGAATTTTGAGAATGCCACTTACAAACAGACGACACAATGAGGATGGAGGACATTGGATCATCAAGCAAACTGATTAGCTGCATCAGAAGCAGACAAGCCACATTCTTAGGGCACATGATGTGAACAAGAAAAACTGGATGACAATGGGGAGTTTGAGTGTAACACAGGGTTGAGATAGATCAAGAGAGAAGATATTAGACAGTGTGTCATTACATAATGGAAGAACTTCTTTATTATAAATGACTGTCATTACATGAGGCAGAAGGCTGTGAACACATTAACAATGGGGAGTTGGAATGTAGCATCAAGCATGGCAATTATTCTGTCAATCACATTTTTACGATATGGAAAATGCTGTCCCCAGATACTTTTTAGTTAACAAAATTTCACAATAAGAATACCTATTAAATCATTTAACCCTAGGTTTGCTATGGTTGCACAAAGTCTAACTCATATTATTAACTTTCAGCACTGCCAATACCTTATCTCGTTACATATCTTAACTATTCAATGAACATCAAGGATCAACAATTCCCCCTCCACCGCCCCCTTACTTTTCCACCTACAAATCTGTTTGCTGTTGTGTAAAGTTTTACTCACACTTAACCATTTAATCAACACTTAAAGCATCAACATTCCTTTCCCTTTATGGCCGATTATGCGTCTCCACAACCTGTGATCTTCAACAGCATGTACTGTTTATGTGCTCACTCCCTTCATGCCATTACATAAAGGTTGTCAAGAATCCTCTCACTTTGTCTTCTCTTATCTGTTTCCACAATCTTTCCAGGTGCCCCAACATTTTCCTTCTGCTTATAACATGACCAAACATTGATAACTGTCTCTTTCTGATATGGTTGATGTCTTTGAGCCCTCACCTCTTTCAAAACATCTGAACTTTTCTTTTTGAGTGGCTTGTTTATAAATTGTCAGGATTCATAGCCATATGTTAAAGCTGGCTCTAATAGCATGCAAGAGTTCTTTTCCTAACCTTCAATGACATGGATTTATTGCATAAAATGTTCTTGATTTTATCTTTCTCCTTACAAGTCCATGAAATATAATCTTAGCTGTTGCTGCATACAGTTGTACAAACTTACCCATTTGATGAACTCAGTGGTCAGGGTACCCAGCGTGGCAAACAAGTTGAAACACAGGAAGCAAAACACTGCATTCCAGTATTCAGCTAAAGATTGGAAAAAATTTCAAACCACTGTAACACTGACATATACAAGAGAAAACCTATGACATTTTTATTGGATTAGAATGCTAAATAAACAAATTAAAAAACACTTTAAAGTGAGAAGTACATGTTAATAATATATGTTTGTAATATATCTACGATATATATCACAGGATGGTACATTCTTTTTACATTTCATTCACAAAATGGTCATATAGTTGGAATGATATAATGAAGAAAGAAAAAAAAAACCGTTTAGCCCTGTAGAAACTGAAAGCCCAGACCCCAACATTCAGGCCACTGCACATTTCTGTAAAGGTTGCAAAACCAAAATGTCTGCAGTGACCTGTTTCTGAGAAGTGTAGTTTAATGCCCTTGGTTCAGTTTGTGCCTGCATAGCATTAAAGAGATTCAGATATGAATATATTAAGCAAAAATAAATAACTTTTGGTAAATGGGGGGGGGGGGGGGGGGGGGGGGGGGGGGGGGGGGGGGGAGAGAACAGGCCAGTGCCATTAACAACATAATTAGACAAAAATAGCTGAAATACACATACACACAAACACATATATATGTTTAAGATAAGCAGCATTCATTTGAAACTCATTCCAATGGTTTCATTACCAAAGCATGGAAGAAACATCAACAAATATAGCAGAATTAAACAAAGCATTTTTGCTGAACAATTCATACAACATAAGCTAGTCAGAAAGTCGCCATAAACATTCAGGCAAGCATCCTACTGCTTAGGTAAGCAGCAAATGCCGTCCGCAAAAATTACTGAGGTTGCTCACTGAACCAACTGTTTACTGTGTTTGTTACGTCTACATCTGTGTGAAATCACTGCCTCTTGGGATATAGGTTGCTCACCGAACCAACTGTTTACTGCGTTTGTTATGTCTACATCTGTGTGAAACCACTGCCTCTTGGGATATAGGATGCTCAATGAACCAACTGTTAACTGCATTTGTTACGTCTATATCTGTGTGAAATCACTGCCTGTTGGGAGATTTTTTTAGAGGTCAGAACAAATGAAAATCACAAGGTGACAAATCAGAACTATAGGCCAGATGTTGTAGAATTTCCCACTTCTTCCATACTAACACTTCCTGCATAATTGTTGCAACGTATGGACGAGCAGTATCATGCAATAAAATCATACTGAAAGCACTCCAAAGCATTTATTCTTGATGGCTTTATGCAGCTTGTCTAGTCATTCCATGTAGTGGGCAGAGTTGCTGTTGAACCTAGGTTTTCTCAAGTCTGCCAATAGCTTTTCATGGTTTAAAAAAAAGATGCCCTCAGCATAACCTTACAAGAGGAAGCCTGTAAATTGAATTTTTGAGCTTTTTGGTGATCCTGATCCAATATGCTTCCATTGCATGCTCTCTCTTTTGCTGCTCAGCTCAAAGTGGATTCATCACCTGCTACTATTTGGAACATAAATGCACTATCCTCTGCTCATAGCAAGTGGTTCAAACAACATCCCATGCATTCCTCCTTTCGGTAGTCATCAATATATGTGAACACTCCTTCCAAATTTGCAGGGTTTTTTTCAAACGACTTTTAAACTGTTCCAACCAACACAAAATCTTTTGCTAGCAAGCATATTCTCTGATAAGGTTCACTTGTGTTGATGCGTCAGTTTTGCTGATGTTTATTTTTCTGCTGTAATAATATACGCCTGACCCAGCTGCGGAAGATCTGTCATGAACTAACATCCTTTCTGGAACATTCATGCCATCTATCACTGCTGTCTTCGGCACACATTTGTTTTTGTATGCTGATAAATTCTTTGATGAATTTCCATTGGTCGACATCTTTCAAATAAAAGAAACAAAATTACTGCTCTTTGAGCTCGTTTGGGCAGATTTTGTATCAACCTGGTCATTTTCTCAATGGTCAGAAACAGAACCTATGCATTATAGAATGAAAAGCACATGCTCTTTTATTGACTGGTCAGTACTTATCACAGGATTACAACATGATTATGATCAAAACATGGAATCAAGCATAAGGCTGCATGAACGGGTTTCGAATTAATGCTCCTTATATACATATATTTTCACACATACACACACACCTCTGCTGCAGAAAAGTGATCTAAGGGGTACTAAAGTACAGGTTAAAATGACATTCATGGACTAACTGTGTGGGTTCCAGGGCCAACTTTGGGGATAAAAAACTGTCCCAAATAAGTATGCTATACAAGATGATGAAAAAACGGTCTGCGGATGTATGGGGCTGCAACTACAACACAATGTCCTAATCACCTTTTTAAGGTCAAATGCAGAAAAGAAAAAGCAGAATAAGAATAAGAAGAAGAAGATGAACAAGAAGAACATGAAGTATGTATATTAACTGCATGTTTAGGCAACAAGAAAAGAAAAACACAAAGGTAGCTTACTGCTCATAGGAATGGTCACTGGTTCAACATCACTCATTACTGCAGGAAACAAAGCCAGGCTTATAAAAAATGTGAACCACACTCCAAAAAGCAAGTGATAAATCTGAAATAACAGGAAATGTTCACACCATTACAGTAATAATCACTTTGCTGTAACAGGAAGTGAAGGAGGCAATAGTTCAGTGTTTGTGGCTTGGCGGGGATGTGTTAGAATCCTTATCACAGTAGATTTCAAAAATTTATCTGGGTCTGATGCAGCTTAAAATAGGCACTAGGAAATTTTTGGGATGTAAAGTTGTCGATATCATGACTACATTAGTGAGTGCCAACTGGTCTACAAAACTATAAGACAAGCATCACACAACAAAAAACACCAGGAGATCTGTGACTATTGTGTTCTCTTATATCTACTTCTGTCACTTTTCTATGAGTAAAAGGAAACAACTGCAAACAAATGATGAATTCTGCTGCTAATTCATCATCCAAAACAAAACCAAATTAATAAAGATCAAATTTCAACACATTGAGGCAAATAAGACACAAGGTGCTGACCTTTAACATATAAGGGACCAATTCGTGCTCTCTGGGTGATGTGGCCAAAATGCTGACGGTTGCCTTTATTTCCCAGGTCATTTCATCATTATTATTTTGACTGAACTGATATGGCTGAAGAGAACTAGATAGAAGATATGATGATTATCATGTCAGTCATTTTAAATTCCAGAAAACCGGCCATGCCAATTTTGTGATACCACACAGCCATCAAAAATTGTTCTTTGAAGTCAGGACCACCAGGCTCAGGTACAAGTGAACAAGACATGATTGTACCAATCTCACAGAATAGTGAGCTAGAAACTATGCTACCAATTTCACATGATAGTGAACTAGACATGATTGTACCAATCTCACAGGATAGTGAGTCAGACACCATGCTACCAATCTCATAGGATAGTGACCCAGATACTATGCTATCAATCTCACAGGTTAGTGAGCTAGACACTATGCTATCAATCTCACAGGACAGTGAGCTAGACACTATGCTATTAATCTCACAGGACAGTGAGCTAGACACTTTGCTACCAATCTCAAAGGTTAGTGAGCTAGACACTATGCTACCAATCTCACAGGTTAGTGAGCTAGACACTATGCTATCAATCTCACAGGATAGTGAGCTAGACACTATGCTACCAATCTCACAGGTTAGTGAGCTAGACACTATGCTATCAATCTCACAGGACAGTGAGCTAGACACTATGCTACCAATCTTACAGGACAGTGAGCTAGACACTATGCTACCAATCTCACAGGTTAGTGAGCTAGACACTATGCTACCAATCTCCCAAGACAGTGAACTAGATTATTTGCTACCAATCTCACAAGATAGTGGAATAGACACTAGCTGCAAATGGATCACCAAAACTCTCTGTCTCTTGTCCTGGCTGTACACCTTCTAAACTTATGTTCTTCCATTTCTAGATGATAACCTCACTTTTGCTTTCTTGCCCCGAACCCTTTCCTCCAAGAATGTTTTTTTTAAACAGAGTAATGTCTTTAAATATGGCTGAAACGTTTCATTACCGCGCGCGCGTGCACGCATGCGTACGTGTGTGGTTTCTTTTAACAAAACTTCAGAACCTCTTGATTGTTTTTTGTGTGTGTTAATTTAGCACTTTTTCTTTCATTCACACTCAAGTTTATGAACCTTCTTGATTTTATCATATAGCTATATTAACAGGTATATGAACTATGTTACATGTAAGACATTAACAAGTATATGAACTATGTTACATGTAAAGAGACTTTAACAAGTATATGAACTATGTTACATGTAAGACATTAACAAGAATATAAACTATGCTACATGTGAGACATTAACAAGTTTATTAGCTATGTTACATGTAATGCATTAACAAGTATATGAATAAGGTTACATGGAAGACACTAACGAGTATAAGAACTATGTTACAGGCAAGACATTAACAAGTATATGAACAATGTTACATTAAGTTATTAAACAGGTATATGAACTATGTTACATGTAAGATATTAACGAGTATATGAACTGTGCGACATGTAAGGAGACATTAACAAGTATATGAACATGTAAGGAGACATTAACAAGTATATGAACATGTAAGGAGACATTAACAAGTATATGAACTGTGCTACATGTATGGAGACATTAACAAGTATATGAACTATGCTACATGTAAGGAGATATTAACAAGTATATGAACTGTGCTACATGTAAGGAGACATTAACAAGTATATGAACTATGCTACATGTAAGGAGACATTAACAAGTATATGAACTGTGCTACATGTAAGGAGACATTAACAAGTATATGAACTGTGCTACATGTAAGGAGACATTAACAAGTATATGAACTATGCTACATGTAAGGAGACATTAACAAGTATATGAACTGTGCTACATGTAAGGAGACATTAACAAGTATATGAACTGTGCTACATGTAAGGAGACATTAACAAGTATATGAACTGTGCTACATGTAAGGAGACATTAACAAGTATATGAACTGTGCTACATGTAAGGAGACATTCACAAGTATATGAACTGTGCTACATGTAAGGAGACATTAACAAGTATATGAACTGTGCTACATGTGAGGAGACATTAACAAGTATATGAACTGTGCTACATGTGAGGAGACATTAACAAGTATATGAACTGTGCTACATGTAAGGAGACATTAACAAGTATATGAACTGTGCTACATGTAAGGAGACATTAACAAGTTTATGAACTGTGCTACATGTAAGGAGACATTAACAAGTATATGAACTGTGCTACATGTAAGGAGACATTCACAAGTATATGAACTGTGCTACATGTGAGACATTAACAAGTATATGAACTATATTACAGGCAAGACATTATCGAGAACGAGGCACGTTTTTTAAGTAAGTCCCTGTATGGAATTTTAAAAAAACTTATACATAAAAATGATTTACTGCAGCAAAAAAGTGAACCAAAAATTTACATTATTTCTCAACATTGTCACCATTAACTTCAACACATTTTTGGTATCCTGGCACCAGGTTCTTAACTCCAGTATCATAGAAGTCTGCCGCCAGTGTCTTGAACCATTCATTCACTCCTGTCTACAGTTTATCATCAGTTTCAAACTGCTGGGATGCCAGCCACTTCTTTATGTGCATGAAAAAGTGGTAATCACTTGGTGCCAGATCGGAGCTGTAGGGCGGGTGGTCAACAGTTTCCCATTGAAATGTTAGCAACAAATGAATTGTTTCATCTGTGAAGTGAGGTCAAGCATTATAATGCAAAAGCACAATTCCAGAGGCAGCAACCCACATCTTTTGTTCTGGATGGCACACACTGTTTTTGTATCCAAGGTTTGTTGTCACAATGTCGTAAATCAGTGAACATGAAACTTCAGAAAATTCGACAGACAATACAAAAATTGTGAAACAATGATTTTTCTGAATGTTTGGTTCACTTCTTCTATCAAATCGTCTGCCACCACACACGACCGACCGATACGATTTTCATCACAGATATTTGTTCCCTTCTTTGAACATTCAATACCATTTCCTAACCATACTATCAGTCTTACATCTGGCCCATAAACCTCAATGAGTTGCCTGTGAATTTTAGCAGCATTGTTGTTTTTTGCTAACAAAAACCGACCACAGCACCAACCTCGCAGCTGGTGGAGGTATTTTTGCTTGGCAGTCATTATCACTCACAAACAGCATCAAACAAGATTTTGACAGTGAAAAATATAGCACACAGCTAGCTAATAAGCCAAATAAACATACTGTATATACACATTTACGTTTTCCATCGGTGTTTTCACTAAAGTCGAAATGGGACTCCCTTAAAAACTGCCCGTCGTATATGAACAATGTTATATGTAAGAAGATATTAACATGAAAGTTCTAGCACACTTAGATGCATGATTTAAATGAAAGATAAATGAACAATGGACACACTGACTCTACCTGCAGTAACATGTGTCACACTGATATTAAACTACCTGTTTGAACACCCGGCCAAAACTCCTGAAGAGAAGTTTATAAAATGGCTCAACACTAACAGCATTTTCCTGGTATTCCTGTTTTTTTAGTTGTGCCAATTCCTGATAGTGAGAATAAAATTTCTGCAAAAGAAAGAAAGATATGCTTACACACATGTGGAAATGAGATTAATTCAAACAATCAATTAAAAAAGCAGATAAGTCTGCAAAGACTGCAGTGAAACCTTGAGCAGTCCCACTCATTCAAGAGATTTTGAGGGGCAATCAACCAATCAATCAGGTGCTATCTCCACAGTGAAGGCTGGTTGTAATGGACCTTTAACACTGCCCCTTGCCCTGGTGGTACATTTACAATTCTGTTATCTATCTCTTCATGTTTTTCCCCCCCCCCCCCCCCATATATATCACTGTCTACCTCTAGTTCACTAGCCTTTAAACCACCCCTCTCCCACATGGTTTTTTAATAAGAATGCTTTATTTAATGTGAAGAACTGTTTAACTTGTCTTCTTTTCAATTTGTTCATACTCTCTTTTCATTCATATGGAATAGGCTGGGAGGGAAACAGAGAACTGATGATATAATGAAGAAAACAGACTGACTAGTAAATCTAAATAACTGCCACCTGGTAATCATGTGGACATGACAAATGCTCACCCGAGATCAAGTGCAGCAGAATGAATCAGCAAGAAGTAAGTAGAGAACCTGGATGCATTGAACATGAAGAAGAAAAATAGACTTACTATTAAACAGGTTGTCACTGGTACCAGAAGCAAGCAAGGAAACTCTTTATTACCTAATGAAGAAGGGGTCAGAGTACATGATGCCAATTCTTAACTGATTAATTTCTTTTGTTTTTACTCAAAGCCCAGATGCTGATCTAAAATATTTAAGACTAAGACAAAGTATTATATTATTGATTTAAAAAAATGTTTTGGAAATACACATCCGCCCATCATAGAGACATTAAATGACAACAGAATTTAAAAAAAAAAAAGTTAAGGACTCTTTTTCATGCCTTCAGGCATATATGACTAGACCTATATATATCAGACCAAGAGGCATTGGGTGGGTGATATGGTCAGCATTTTGCTGCATCTACTTCCAATGCTTTTTATCTGGTACCCATTTAGTACTGGGTCAACCTGGCTGTTAAGGTCATTTTTCTAAAAAGCCCAGCACCATACAGATTTGAAGCCATGACCTTTGGATCTGCAGGTGAGCATCTAGCCGCTAGAAAACGATGGCTCCCCAAAAGGCAAGAACACGCATAATAACTACTTCAAGATGTTAATCTGATTTGTCTAAAAAATACAATTACTGTGTTTGATTGATGAATGCTTTATTTAACGTGGTTTAAAAGCTAAGCTAAACTTAAGCAGACTAACAGATGGAATCAGATCTGCAGTAATGTACTCACACAGTGAGAGGTAATGAAGTAAGCATCAAAGGCCACCATGAGAATAACAATAGCTGTGACAAAGTAGTAAATGGCTGAGGTTTTCTTGCTGGGGGACACTGAAACAAATAAATTATGAATAACGTCATGTGATGCCCTGTTCAGTTTGCAGTAATTAACATTAGGCATTCATAATATTGAGAAGAAGATGTTGTCTATGCTGTCAGGTCTATTTGGTGACACTCCTGAACCCTTTGAGAACTAATGGGTTGATCTATTGGCCCAACAGCAAAATAGCCAAAAAGAGATCTGGGCTGATCTGTTGGCCTTGAGTGGCTGGCTGGTTTTCATGAGAACCTGGACTACGGCTCCATAGTCTACAGTGCTGCCAATAATAAGTCTGAAAAAAAAAAAAACTAGACAGCATCCAGGGCCAGGCGCTGTCAATTATCCTAGGCGTAAGCAAATTGACCAGCAGGGAGGCTATGGAAGTCCCCCTTTGAAGCTTAGAAGGAAGCAACTAACATGAAATTACTGGATGAGCACAGGTCTCCTCCTAGATCACCCAGCAACCAAAGCCCTCCAGCCTAATCAGTACCCTTGGAAAGACAAAACAAAGCCACTACAGAAATTTAGGTGCCCGACAGCCTGGATTACTGCCAGTGAATTTCAGCAAGCGGAAGTGGCAGAGGCGATCTCATGCCACAAAAAGTTCACCCGGACGGTCCCGTCGTAGGAGTGCTATGACTACCGACATCCGATACCAGATTCGCCAGGAAAATTTCCCAAAACTCTGACCCCAGCGAAGCCAGCAGACTAGCACATCAATACACTAATTGCAGACCCCATAGCAGTTAACACAGACGGCTCGAAGAACCAGAATGGAGAGGATGGGGCCGGAGTAGTCATACCCGACCGGGCCCTAGAACAACACTTCAGACTACCTGCCCGGCCGAGCTAACGGGTATGCTTAAAGCCCTAGAAACAGTGGCGGGAGACCTACCAGCCAAATTATGCATCCTCACAGACTCGGTAATGGCTCTGGAGGGACTTGGGAAATGCAGCCGACCCGACGTCAAAAAATAATCCTGGCAATCACAACCGAGCTCTACCAAATGGGCTGCCCTGTCACAATAATCTGGATACCAGCCCACAGAGATATTCCAGGCAACGAACGGGCGGACCAGGTGGCAAAGAGAGGGATTCATAGCCCCAACACTGTAGATATCGGGCTAAGTAGAAACGATGGTAAGGCCCGCATAAAAGAACACATTGGCGCAGCGTAGAAGCAACAGTAAGCCCAAAGTAACAAAGAGCGGCACACGCATCGCCTAGTGAAAGAACCCAGCAATAGATTCCAAGTCAAAGAACTCACAAAAGTCCTAACTATCAACACATTGTGGAGACTGCCACTTGGGCACTGGAAATAAAAATCAAGTAGCCCAATTTGTACTGAGTGCTGGAAGCTCAACACAGTAGAGCATTACCTACTAACATGAACCAAATACGAAGCGCTCAGAACTGAACTGAGAACCCACTTCGCAGCAAATACCAAATCTATGACAGTCAGGGCCTGCCTCCACACAAAAAGCAGCTCTAAAATCCTGAAAATGGTGAAGCAGATCGGCAGGCGGGGATACGCCCCAAGCGTAATCCCAGATGGTCAAACTCCAGCAGACCAGCCACACCAAATGATGTCAGACCAGCGGAACCCGGCTGTAGGAACCCTCTTCTCTCTATTCTTACCTAGCAAGCTATCATTCTCTCTCACTCCTTCGACCTAACTGTATATCCTACCGAACATTCCTGCATTCTATTTTTTTTTAAACTCTGTTTCATATTCCAACTACTTCTATACCATGTGTGGCCAGAAGAAAACTGGATAAAAAATTAGAAAGAAAAAACAAAAACAAAGAAAGAAAGAAGAAAAAAAAGGCTAGGCAAAAAAAAAAAAAAAAAAAAGCTTGCGCCCATACATTTATGAGGCGAAAAATAAAAAGCAAAAGAGAAGTTAAATATGGCACCCTGAAAAGGGCCTTGTGAGTGGCATGGTGGCTCAGTGGCAGGCCTGTCTGTTTTGGGAGGGTGGCGGCCACCCTGATGCAATCAGTGACGATGCGTTTAGACACCCAGCAAAGGAATCAGCTCTAACACTGAAAATGGCAAGGAGAGCAAAGTAGCAATATATTAGGCGTATTCAAACGCCACAAAAAAAAAGGACACCACTAAACCACAAAGGAACAAGGACACAAATAAAGCCAAACATACATGGCAGGTTGAAGCAGCCCAATGTTTTTTTTTCCGATTTGAAATTGAACTTAGCTGGTCTTCATTCCAGCTAATCAGATTGCTTCTCCCATTTCTTGCACCAGTGGGCTGTTCAATGCTGGTTTTCATGAACGCTTTTTGCGTTCTGTAATTTTGCATCAATTGTTTAGGGGGAGGGAAGGGAACGGTGGGGTTTTACCTGTGCCCAACAATGGTGAAAAGGACTGTTGCATCATAGCAAAACACAAAATATAGTAGGAGGCAGTCAAAGGAGTAGAACCATGTTCCAGAGGTGTGTGGAGGGCCTACACGGGCCTTGCTTTCCAAAACACAAGGATTTTTTCAGGCTTCTTTTATCAGAAATGTTAGCCAAATTGTTCAGTTTAATCATATTTGTTCTAAATAATTAAAACAAAATGAATGCATAAATATGCAAATTCTTTAGCTAATTTAAAAAAACAAATGCTGAGATCTCAGTGTGATTCATAAACACTGTTAGTTAATTTTGTATAATTTGTGTGTGTGTAAACTAAAACAATCCCCTCCTGAAGGCTCCGTCTTCTTGGCAATGAAATTGAAAAAAAGGGTCGTCTCCAAATGTTAACATCTCTCTTAGAGAAATCTTTCCAACCTCCTCCCATCTCTTTCCTTCAGACATTAAAATATCAGCGTTTGGCAAAGATGCTACAAACTGTGCGCTGGTTTTGATTGTGTTTATCAAGAGCAAACCATTCAGACAGCAAACTGAATGTAAAATTGTGTGGTGAAATCACAAACAGTTAAAAAATGATAGGGTTGGTTCTGCATCATCTTGTAAAGAAATGCAACTAACTTTTTATTTATAGAACATCTACTGCATTATGTGTGCGCACACACACACAGTGATACACAAATGTGGGTACTGATACAAACAAGAAGAAAAAAAAAAGATACTAACAGATGTAATATTTAACATGGGTTCTTCCCAGGACTGCACCCGGTACTCACTCATATTTGGTTAGACCTGGAATCCCTAGCTACTGACATTAAGATTCAGCTTTTACTTGTCTCATTTTGTTATTTTTCTCTGTAATTCATATTCCATCTGATGTTATGAGTGTACCTAGGTAACTGAATTTCTGTACCAGCACCAAATTAATAGGACTGTCTGTAACTGCACATCTGGCATGATCTATGGAATATCTGCAAGAAAGTGAAGTCTAAAGTTGAGTTTATTTACAACAGAAATACCATGTTTTGTCACTTACACAATAACACGATAATGTTGGTAACTGCCACCAGTGTTCCAGAGATATTCTGCAAGTTTAAAAAAAAAAATGGTTAAAACTAAACTCAAAACAATATATTAACAATTTGGCAATACTTTTAGAAAAGGTATGTTTAGTCTTAGTTTTAGTTGAGGTTTCAACTTCACTGCAATCGAGTCACCCCATACTTGCTCTGTTCTTGTGCTAGTCCCTCACTGACTGAGTTGAAAAATAGTGAATAAACAATTCGTCCCGGCACAATCCAGAAATATGTAGAACCAGTAAATGCATAAGGCAGTTGCTAGAGGTGCCATAGCCAACAGTCACCACCAGAAACATGGTTTGTCATTGGTGGAAGTAGTCGGGCAAGATAAGTTGGCTATACACTCATAGAACCACCACATAGGGTATTTCACCAGCTGACATGTAAACTGGCTACCAACCATATTGAATACCACGAAATGAAAGGCATTACACATGAAAAAACACAGCTCACATGGCTGCACCAAACACTAAATTCTGTAGCTCAGGCAGCAAAACCGCAGACTACCATCCATATGAGGAAACTGCATTAGCAAAGAGCTGACAGAAGCAAAAAATAACTTCCATTCTACCATGCCTAGCCCTCCATATTAGTTTACTTTCAACATAATAATAAAAGAAAATACAGTTACAAGAAAAAATCTAACTGTTAGGATTTTTAAAAAACACAGTTACTCCAGAAGTATCAGGAAAGTTAGAAGATATGTTAATACAATCAATATGTAACAGGTGACAACAAACTATATATATATAATTATATTTTGAAAATCACCACTACAACTTACATTCCCAAAGAGGATAGCATTTGTGTACTTCATTGGTAAGACAGCACTAAGCCCAAAAATGCTGTTCTGATACAACCCCACAGCAGCTGCAGATGAAAAATGACAAATGAAAGATAAATACAGCAGTCTTCATGTAATTTTCACTGTACCCTTTCCCTTTCAGAAAATGTATATTACCTAGCCCCATTCAGTAGTCAAATATTTTGAGCCACATGATTGCAGTGTTATGTAACAAATTAATGAACAGATCAACTTCTAGCATGCTGTAACTGACTGCTGTCTTTCAAAAGATTAGAAAAGATATCCACAGTATAATGGTTTGCCAACCAGCCTGAATGTCTTGGGTTCAAATTCATGTAGAAGTAAATTAATTTTTTATTTCACCTGAGTTGACAAACAGACCCAGCCTAAAACAGATGCCAGGAAATGTTCAAGGAAGTAAAGGTGTCAGTGTGATGCTGACCATATCACTAACTGAGAGTTGACTGGTTAATGAAAATATGCGTCTAGAATCATATGCCTGATGGGCCAAACTGTGAAAAGAATCCTTCACTTACCCCAGGCAGAATATTTATTGCACACCAAACTATTTCAATGAACATATTCAACAAGATGTCCCAACAATTAGGTATACAAATTCACAGAGGAAAAGACCAACCAGAAAAAAAAGGGGGGGGGGGGGGGGGGGGGGGGATGAGAACAGTGTTCACACAATCTATTCAGACAAGAACCAATAAAACTGGTAGGACATGAGTTATGAGTTTGATTATCTTCACAGCACTTCGGACACATCCATAGGTGCTCAGATCCCTCTCTCAACATATTCATTGGCGTTGCACGGTTAATAGTGCCAGTCCTATGCTAGCTGACAAGACTTTGTGTGCATCCAGTGTGCCTCTCATGCTTGGCTGTGCAAATCTTTACTACCAATTTTCATATTCTTAGCAGTGATGTGGACATGTTACTTCCAAAATCCTCAGAACGTCCTTTCTCTCTAAGGGCAATAACAATGTCTGCATGATCCATGGGCCGGCCATCTTCAATTAATGCGGCACCTACCAGTCTATCAGCTCTTTCAATACCAACAAAACCTGCAAACCCTGGGACAAATATTAAGGTAACTGCACACACAGGCGAGTTTTGCAATGACTCAATCCACTGTCTGCATAACCACCCTGCCTTGACCCGCTGGATCATGCTCAAAGAATCACTCAGCACACACATGCGGGAATAGTCCTGTGATTCTAGTCACATGAAAGCTTATGTCACCGTCATCACCTCCATCATCATGTGCTGATAGTCATGGAAAAGGCACCTCTGGCTTTTTAAACTGTTCCGCCTGAAGAGCAAGCTGTAAATGCCCATACATGCTTATGTTCTCATATAATGAATCTAATGCACCAAGGTATGTATGTAAAAAATTCCCATGTAGTTGGATTTGAAGAAAAAAAAATCTGGAAGTTGTCGACCCTGCTTAATTTAAATAACAAGGATACTTTCCAACACCAAACCAAGATACAACACTCACCATTTACCACAACTGCGGTAGCCATTGTCATCCAGAAAAAGATTTCTGCCCCTGAGAAAGTTAAAAAAAATTTTTTTTGTCAATATAGAAATCTGGGAGATTTGAGCTATTTCCGTCATGTATTCACAGAGTGACATTTAACAAAAACAAAAGACTAATTTTATTATGGTCAAAACACACACAAAATTATCATCCATGAAGCAAAGCATGTCATTCAAACAGGCACCATATACCCATGGTTAGGCAAAATTATCATGCTACTCAGTCAGCAGATGACAAGTAACCCACCATTTTGTTCAGCTAGTGACAGTTGCACCATTACATGTGCAACACAGAGCCAATGACAAACAATTCTGCTACAAACTCAGAAAAGTGCTCCTGAGACATAAGGACAGATGACGTAAGTTTATGAAGATCAATGTTTACCTCGGGCATGAGGTGGTATTCATGTTTAAAGACCGGTGTGCATAAGATTGAGGGTGAGGCTAGACAAGGACGCCAATTTCTATTCATAATGATAAACTCATAGCCAAAGTCAGAGAATGGATAAACAAAGATTGATGTCTGACAGTGAGAATGATGGCAGGTGAATATGATGTTGAATGTGATAAACAGGCTTGATATCACAGCCTAGCAGTAAACCATGACACAACATTTCAAAGGCCATTTTTACAGCAAATGCAGAAAAAGAATATAGAGGCAAAAGTAGATGATACTGAATGAATATTTTGGCATTTGTAGTAAATTAGTGGGAATATTTTGTCATAAATGGCCTCACACCCATCTGATCTTTTCACACATTTGAAGATTCATATAATTTCCAGGTTTCTATTTTTAATCCCTGTCTACAATCTTACTCATTTGTTTCTCAAGTTCACAATGAATTAAAATTTTTCTGACTTCAATATACATGTAGATTTACTCTCAATTTTCAATATTAGGAAAAGTATTAGGCACAGAATGAGTTAAACTACACACATTTTTTGCCAAGACTTCAGGTTTCTTTTTCTACAAAGCTTGCTAGCCGATCTTATTTCTAGTAAGGTACCTTATGCAGTGTGCCTGTTTGTTACCAATATAAGACAATGAACAAAGAGTGTACATTTTGTTCTTCCTAATTTTAGAAGGTTGCAGCAATGTAAAGAAGCATCTTTAAAATCTCCAGACTTAGCGATGCATGATGCATACATAATGTATTTTGAACAAGCTGCTGTAACGTATCCTTGACAAATCTCAAAAGCTCTTAAATGTAACCTTGCAAAGTCAACAGCCCTTTTCCACATTCTCAGGCTATTAGGTATATAGGGCTAGACCTATATATCATAGACAGCTGGCACTCAGTGGATGATGTGGTCAACCTCACACCAGCTGCCTTTACTTACCAGGACTTGATCTGGTACCAGTTTTAGGATGGGTCCACTTGGAAGCCATAGTCACTTTAAAAAAATCCAGTTTGATGCATATTTGCACCCAAGACTGTCGGGGTCACAGGCAGGTATCTAGCTGCCCAACCAAGGTCAAATTCATCCTTGGTGATACTAAATAAACTGCGTCAAGCGCGCCTCAGAATATATTTGTATCACCTTGTGCCATGCCGATGAGTGAAGATGGTCATGGTTCATCCATTTCACACAATCATTAGAGTCATGGATCAAGTATGTGTTCCCATCCTGCTGAAAAGCCATCCCGATACTTATCTCCTTATTTCAACTAGACTCATTTCACATCTTGGTATTATTATTGTTTAGAAATTTAAGCACAATTAGAACAAATTCTAATCATTGCAAAAAGACTTAAATGTTGTTGAAGTTTACAATGTTTAGAAATGTAAGCATAATTAGAAGCAAATTCCAATCATTGTAAAAAGTCTTAAATGTTGTTGAAGTAAACAACTATTATTATTAGTAATACTACTATGATTGTTATTTATTAAATCATGTAGGAATGGAAGAAGGCACAAAAGTAGTGACGCCAAAGACACAATTGAAGACGGGCCTGCATAATCAATTCCTAACCCTTTCAAAATAAAGTATGTTCATTCATTTGTTCATTTCCTCTCTCCATTCCCATCCAGTTTTCCAGCTGTCATAAAGTTATCAAGTTCATACTCCTCATAACATGCCCAATAGATTAGACCATCTAATCTAAATAATCAAATTTGGTCTTAACAGATCACCCACTCTGAAAATAAATCAGCATGTTCAAGACAAACTGGTGTCTAATTTGTCGTAAAAATATATAAGGGAACTCTAAAAAACCTCTATGAGATTTAAATAATTAGAAATGACATATATTTGAAGACAAATCTGTAATACTTACAAGCTGACGTATCAATGACAGCCAGAACCACTGTCAGGATAAACATGACAACCATTATAATGATGCCAGATAAAATGCGCACCCCCAGAGTGTTCCTACACAGAAAACAAACACAGAATTGGGAAGAGATGAGTAAAGTAAGCCACACGGTTAAACACTATCAATCATCGTGATTTCCGCTCTCCTCTCAGTTATCTGCTGCTAATTTTATTATCTCAGAACATCTGGATAAAGATTCAATATCATAGCATTCAGGGCAAGCTCATAATAGCTCTGTCTCCCTTCTCAATAGCCAGTGAAGTCTCCATAATGATAAGAGTAACCATTGCCATCCGGTGAACTACTTACTCATCATGCCTTCCCTTTTGAGTCTCGAGTGGTGCCCAGAGCCTGCAGACACTTCCCACTGCATCATTCTCTCCAAGTAGGGGTTTTCAATATCTTCCAATTCACTCATTACCTCACCTCACAGGTGAGAGATTACGTGTGCAGTTGCAGTACACCCCCTAATAAGTGTGACAGTCGTCTCTGAAATTGTCCCAGGTTCGTTATGTTTGTCACAAGGGTGGCGGGTGATTGTTTATGGACGAGGAGAAAAATGGTCGTGTCGTTAGTGGTGATGATGATGCACGCTTAGCACTCGTTGCTTGCTTCTCACGTGACTCTGATGCTTGTATAACAAAGTGTCTGGAAACAACTGTGCTCCTCTTTAAACTTCTTTAATATGATACTTCAACAATGTCACACAATTAAAAATGATATTCTTTATTTACTTTGTTAACTGGTTCTATTGTCTTTAACTGCCACCGGGCTACTAGTGCAGGTTGGTTCAACAAGTTTTATCTTCTACTTATAAAATTCATTTGGAGATTTTCGGGAAGTCCGGCCTATATGTAGTTCTTCTGGTCTACTGTGCTCTAGCCTCTTCTTCATCTGTCTCCGAGTCAGTATCTGTCCCCGAAGTTGTATCTACACCTGAATCCGGCTGGACCCATGGGTGGTGAAAAATGTGAAACTCTCTTACTATAAAACGGTATACAAGAGTTGATCCGCCGTCCTGCGTAAAAATAATCGTGACCAGTCGGAATGGGCCACTGTTTCTGACAGTAATTCTAATCGAATACATATATATATATATCTTTAACTATCTTTTTATCTACACTTTCTAATCAACCTTCCTTCCCTGTTTAAACTGACCGTTACTTTTCTCTACTATCTATCTCTGTCCCTATCTCGAGCCTGTCCTCTGCTGTCCTCTTTCTTCTGCCTCAGTCTATCTCCGTCTTCTCCTCTGGCCTGTCTCCGTCTATGTCTTGTGTCTTGTCCCTCCTCTATCTGTGTCTATTCTCTGTCTGTCCCCGACTATCCTCTGGCCCGTCTGCTCCTTGTCTGTGTCCGTTTATCCTCTGGCCTGTCCGTCTCGTGTGTGTGTGTGTCAAAGGTTCCGGGCAATCGTTTATAAAGGGGTTACTAGCCTGCTCCCAGGGGGCTCCTATCCCTCGTTGTTTTGCAGATTCTGCAGCTGGCCGGGACATAGGTATTTTAGTTATGCAGACTAATTGTTTTGTGCAGGACGGGGAGAGTCACATGATGTCAAATCAGACGACTCAAAGTACGTGGGAAACAAGAGTAGGGACCTAAGGGATATAGTTGCTTGCTAAGCACGAGTTCTAACAATAAGGGTGAAGGCCACAAGGGGTCTTGTCGTGCTAACAGCACAACACTAAAACGGGGGTAGGGGTACTGACTTTGCTACATAAGGCCAGTGCAGCTAACTTACCTGCCTGCTACTTCTCAGATATCAAATTATGGGGTGTTATATATTTGGGGCACATGCTTGCAATAGGAGTAAAAGTTGCTGGAGATTTCTCAGAAAATACAATTTGGTACCTGGACAGCACAAACAAATATGCAACATGAACACTTCACTTCAGACTTCAGGAAACATTTAATCTCGATGACAAACCGCATATTTATATAATTAAATGGCACACCACAGTTGTTGTATAGAATTGAAAACATTAAATTATGATCTTTTGAACAAATGTATGTATTTACTCTACTAGTTTAAAAAACAAAAATAGCAGACATGAGCAAATTTATTAATTTTAATATACCATGTTGTCTATATGCTTTATATGGATAGCTGCAACTGGAAAAATTGCATGATAACAACCTCCTTTATTGTACCGTGTTTAACTAGTTTAAGCCTCTACTCCTAGAAGCCCAAAACAAATGACTTCCAATTGTGACACAGTCCCCGTTATTGCCAATTTATCTGCATTTCTGCAATGACATGTTCTCAAAAAGTGTAGTTAAATGCCATTATTTCTGTATGTGCCTGCGCAGCATTTACAAGACCTGGATATGAATATATTTACTAAAAATAGCATTTAGAGAGTTTCTTGTCAACCAAATGGCCTTTTAAAGCCACTGCAACATCCAAATTTCCCATAGGCTTAATGACAGATGTCAAGGGGTCACAGTATGAATCACTCGATATACACATATTTTTAGACCCCATGGAATGTATTCCATTTAAGTCTTCAATCTGTTCTGTTGTGACATATTACTACTTTTTAATACATTTATTCAATTTTTAAAAAATATTACTGTAGAGAAATACATTTTATAATATTTATTAGTGACCTGTGTAAAATTATAGGTTTTAAAAAAAGGATTACTTTTGGAATTTCCAAGTGTTCATGACTATTTGTTTGAGCGTGTCTGTAGTTAAAGGGTTAAAAAAGTAAACATAGTCATCAATACAGTTTTTTCTAACACCTAAATTATTTCAATGGAATAATACATTGGCAAATTCCTTTCACCCCTTTTAAAACCGATTTCCTTTGTCAAAAAATTTACAGAAAAAAAGGAAATTAATTTATCAGCTGAGCAGTAGCTACTTGAAAATGGTGACCTTGGATTACAGTTTTAACACTCTAAACATCAATGGAGGTTTAATAATGTAAAAACATTTTTTGAAACTGCTGCTTTATACGGAGTGTGGGGCACCAAAGTCATGAGCCTGGGGATTTAGGGCTGGTGCAGTGGCCACAAACTGTTCAGGAAAGGATGTTTATTTCTGCCCCTGACAAAAAGAGCACACATCACCTTACCAGGGATTTAAGCTGCCTTCTGCTGGGTTGAAAATCAGTTACACACACATGTCCTAACTGTAACTGACTCACAGAGCATGCTGAAGAAGGTGGAGACAGGCATGCTCCATATAAAGTGGCAAGCATAGCTTCAGAGGTCCTGGGTGATTAGCATCCTTTAGATATTTTCTCCAGGTCATGCCGGTGTGTTGGGAAATAAACAAGCAGTTTGACTGGCCGGTTCTGCCCCAGTTGGTGATGAACTGATGTATGACAAGCTAGAGGTTGCAAGGGCCCTCTGGGAGTGAGTGAATAGTGCAGAGGCATGAACAGATCATTACGGTCTGAGGAGAATGGTGCTGCAAAGAGTAACCAGAGGATCTGGCTGATGCTCAATAATCAAGGAAAAGGCGAGAACAGATATACAATCAGACAGTTACTGGTGCCATTGGAACTGAAACTCTTCGCCTGCCACTGAAGATAGGGACGGAGCACTTATTTGAGTGTTCCGAGTGCTGTGATGTTGATTCTCAATTCGACAGGGGATTTCAGCCCAGGACACCTGCTTGAGAGCCTACTATTCTAGTCACTCAGCCAACAACCTCTTGCAAATATTACTTAATACTAATATAGTTACATATACTCACCCCTTGCACTGTACAAACAGATTGACAAGGTTCATGATGAAATTTGGATACTGGGAAGCCATGCCAATGTAAGTCATGAAGTTTGTCTTGTAGTCAAGAAGTGCAGGGGAGGACATGTTGCCCTGTTCCAGTTTGTAATTCTCAAAATACTAGAATATAAAATCAGAAATATCTGAGTATTTCATCTTATTTGTTAATCTCTCTCCTCTCCTAACAATGTAATGAGAAAATTAATAATGATTGTAACAAAATAATTTACTGATAATAAAATTTACAGAGAAGGAAACAACACTATTCACCTACAGCAAAAAATCTTACTGCTTTGCTGTTCGTCGGGGTCTGTGGCTTAGGTGTTGCAAATATGCGCAGCTGCTGGCAATTTAGCAGCAGACCACCTTGTGGTTTCAACAGTGGTATCAAGAGCTGACTGACTATTCAGAAGCAATGGCAGATTACTGAAGGTAAATTTGCCTAGAAAAACCACAACAGCCACAAACAAAAGAAATGCTGGGTTTTGCTCTGCAAAATCCTGTAAAAAATATGCAACAAATCCCCCCCCCCCCCAGCTGTTATTATGTGATTATTTTATTTGTACATATTTATATTAAGTAAATAATGTTCATTTACTGCCATATATGCACACCCTTTGTGGCCTAAAGCCCCAAATTCTGGACACATATAAACATTATAAAACAGCAACTCCTAAAAGTGATAAGTGGCAAAAGTATACTTACTGATTTGGCATTGATGAACATGTTCCAAGGTATAAGGACAGCGATGCCATGTGTCATCATTATCAGGTACACCAGGTTACATCTACAAAAATTAATCATACACAAAATAAATCAACAAATCATTACCCAAAAAAAAAAAGCCACAATACAACATGCAAATGTATTTTCAATCTGTGGCAAAAATAATGGAATAAATCCACACTCTATGCATACACAGTGGCTAGTCATGTGACATGTGGTTTAAGTGTGGTGCACACCTTGGCAAACAGAGGTTACTGCATTAACTTAGCAAGCACAAGGCCCCAAGGTTTAATCACCAGCTGTGGCAAGAGACTTGGGTCAATTCTGTCAATAAAAACAGATTCCAGAGAAGTTGTGGTAGATGTTTCAGTCCTTCCGTCAATTGTTCTTTATTGGCTGTGTTTTCTAGACTATGCACTCTTGCCATGAAAGAGAATATGTCATGGCTGCAGTATATCATATGCCCAATTTACACAGAAGTTTAATGTGAAATATCTGTGGATACAAAGGATGCTAATAACCCGGGACATCTAAAGTAATGCTTGCCACTCTGCAAGGAGCATGCCTATCTCCACCTTTCTCAACATGCTCTGTGAGTAAGTTACAATCATAGCATGTGTGTACAGCTGATTCTCAAGCCAACGGAAGGCAGCAGTGACTGCTTCCACCTCTAATCTCACACTAGACATGTCGATATCATACGCGGGGCTTATTAACACTAAACAACATCCATTCGCTTATGCTATAAACCCTCATGCACTTTGTCTGACCCTCAACACAAAGCCATCTGTATAGAAAATCATATCACCTGGGCAGGAATTGTCATGAATCATTAATTGAACTTCTGATTCTGCAGCACCAGCTGGTCAGTTCCTGCACTTATGACCTAAAGTGAAAATAACCCTACACAAGTCTGAAACCTGCTCGGACATTTTTACCCACTCCTCTTCTTGCTCGAATTTATGAGGCCGACAAACATGTCTAATTGTGTCTTCAGCTTGCGCCATCCAGGACCACCCTGTTTTCTGTCGGTAAACCTTAGCTTTACCCAGGGTTTCATACAGGAAGTGCTTTTTGTCTGCAGCTACTCTGAGATATGACTTTGATTGCAGAACTTTAAACCTATCTGCAACAGTAGGCAGTGCAAGTATATATCACATACATACTACCAGGGTATCTCTTTTACATCCTAAAATTATTTTGCATGGCTTCATTCCATATGCGTTCAAGTTCTATCAGCTGACCCTTTGATATAGCATTTCAAGTCCATAATCCATCATCGACAGGACCATATGCTGAAACATTTTGAACAGCATTCTTTGTTCGTGTCTATTGCTGCCATAAACCTGAGAGCATTGAGTCTATTTTGGCATTTCACCGCAACTGCCTTCACATGATCCCTGAATGACAAGCTTCTATCGAAAATGAGACCCAGGTACCTCAGTTTGCTTTCTCTTTTGATGTTACTGTTATTAATTGTGAGGGTTGAAACATCAGATCTTTTCATTCTATTGTCCAGAGAGCACCACAAAATAGCCGCCTTTTCTCAACTGATGCCAGCACCCACTTCAGCACACCAGTCAGTCACTTTGTCTACAGTTGCCTGTAGCTGTTGTCTATCACTCCCCTGCCTATATGCAAGAACATCATCTGCAAACGTCAATATCCTTCCAACACCCGGTGTTTCAAGTTCTGCAATCTTGCATTTATACACATTAAAGAGCACTGGTGAAATTGCAGAATCCTGCCTGGGGTAGACCCTGGGCTATATTACATGGTACTGAGGTCTACAGTATCCAGGTGAAGGGCAATCATGCGGGAATGCCGGACAGCTGCTATCCAGTTCACAAGCCAGGGACATACCGCTTTTCCATAAGTGCAGATGTTAAAATATTTCTGACTACTGTAGGCATCTTTAAGATCAAGTGCTGCCACTACCGTCTACTGTCTATTCTAGAACCCCTCATAAACATCAAAAGCAAAAGTAGCTGCATTGGACCAGGTATCTATATGTGGCCGGTAACTACCCAAACCTTTTGGCAGGAGCTCTTCCCTTTCCAAAAACATTTGTAGTTTTAACAGCAATAAAATTCTCTAGCACCTTGCCAAAATTATTGTGTAGGGCATAGCTATTCAACTGGCTGCCTGAGAGTTAAGTCTGGCCCACCGAGACCTAGCAAATGGCCCGGGAATCATTGCTAACTGTATTGAATTAGTGATCTCTCTTTCTTGGAACTTGGGCTTCTGGCTGTGACTATACCCATTTTCAAAATATTGGCCCCTGAATAAACTTAGTTGAAAAGCCCTGGTGCAGGGTGATAATCCTGAAATCGCTCAGTCTGGAATGATCTTTTTTGCCTGTTTTGGGAAGTGGGATTAGATAGCTGTGTATCCAATCCTGGGGTACTGAAGCTGTTCTGATGCTCTGGTTGAAGTAAAAAGCCATCTTCCTCAAGTCTTCATCATTCATGCTTTTCATGTGGGCATACCTGACTCCGTCTGGCCCTGGCGCAGTGTCTTCTGCTTTTTTTGCAAAATATATTTTATATCCTCCACCCTAATGATATCCTGAAAATAATTATCATTTATAGTATTAGACAGATTATCTGAAACTGAATTTCTAAGTTCCCTATCATTATGATCATTTTAGGCAAAAATCTCTTCAGAAATGCTTTTCCTTTCTCTTTATCTGTTGTCACTGGCACACCATTACCAGTGTATATAATGCCTGTTGTAATCAGTCAATCATTCCTTTGCATCTGTCTGAGATATGTCTAACTGTGGACAGTAAATATTGCATGTAAATTTCCACAGATGTAGGACTGAATATAACTGTGTGTATACAATAATGGAAAAGTTATTGTGAAAAATGGCCTTACATAGATCCTCCTTGAATATGTTAAAATAAATTATACATCCATGTTCTCGGGACATTTAAATAAGGCAAGGAACACAAATCTAGCAAGAAGTTCAAAAGCTTGTTGTAGGACAGGGAAAGTGAATAAGCTTGACCTGTACTTTTCTGATGACATAAAGATAAGCTTTCAACTCATCAATATTCATGCAAGCTCACTGATAAACGTCCAAGTCCGCTGGTTATTATCATAAACATAAAAGAATGCATCAAATTTGCTGAAAGAAACTCTTTTTTAACAAACTGAGCTGGAAAAACTCACAACATGATTGTCTTGACTGCCCTAGCCACAATAAGTAGAAAGCCCTGAGAAAAAGCCTTAGGGAAAAATACTAGTATTTAACCTGTAGTGACACAGTAAAGTTCACATATTAAAAAGCAATATAAGAGATACAATTTAAACTTTGGAAAAATAATTTTTAAAAAATTTCCCATGAATTCATATTTTAAAAAATTAAAAAAAAAAAAAAAAAATAAGCACAACTGAGAACAGTGTTCTCTCTACTTAATCACCTGTCTCTGGGGGGATTCTTTTCCATTTCCTCAATACGCTGGGCAGTGGTAATCCTTTTAATAGCTGCAGCATTGGCAACACTATCCCAGCCTGGGTCAAGTTTGACGGGAGGCAAGAAGCGCTCCCGCTCTGCCATATTGCTGCTTTCTACATGAAACATCACAGAGAGTTTAGGAAATATATGCTTCAATGGCAAAACACTCTATTCCCTAGAATAAGATAACCACAGGGTTCACAGCCAAATTTACCAATCAATTTCTAGGCTTTTCAAGGTCTCCCTAAATTTTTTTCAACTGAAACAAGATTTTTGTCTTGTTCAAGGGTGTACCGAGCACACAATGTACTTCATTCGTGCCAGACATATGAGTTTACCAGCACAGATATCACCATCATCATGTAGCAGGTTCTTTGTAGAACTCGCTCTTATCACGGTCTGCCTAAAAGAAACTCGTTCTCTCGCCAGCTCTCACGCCTCACGTATTTTAATAATCAAGGAGTCACTTATATCCTGTACCCATCTTCGTGTTGGTCGGCCCCTGCCCCTCCTTCCTGGTACCATGCATTGTGTTTTTATTTTTTCCAATCGGTTGTGGCGCTTGATAAAGTGTTTTAACATTTTTTTGTGTAGATCTGGTTCTGTCTGTTCTGGACCTGGTACCTGAAATGGGAAGGGGGAGAGAGAGAAAGTCATACAGAGAGGGAGGAAGACATATGCTGCCCCTGGTGGGAGAGACTGTAAAAATGGACAGATAAAGGTAGAAGAAAGAAGGGAAAGAGAGACAGGGGAAGGCGGAAAAAAAAATGACAACGAGAGGGAGGGATGAAGACATGATGAGGGAAAGTGGGGAAGGGACATCAAAAGACAGAGATGGAGGCAAATACAGAAAGAAGGAATGCAGATATAGAGATGTGCAGATGAAGAGAGAAGGAAGAAGGGAAAGAAACAGAGATATGGAAGGAGGAAAAATATGAAAAACAGAGTTGCAGGAAGGGAGACAGAGGAAGAGAGAAGGGACAGGGAGAGAGGGAGATGCAAGCAGAGAGAAATGTAGACATAAAGGAGAGAGAGAGACAGAGGGACAGTATAGAGAGGCAAACAGACAGAGGGAGAGAACCAAAGAGAGAGAGAAAAAGCAGAGCGGGAGAATGGGAGGGAGGTATACAAAGAGGAAGTGATGAAGGGAGGCAAACAGACATAAAGCAAGAGAGAGGGAGAGAGAGAGATGGAGGAGAATGGCAGTGACAAACACAGCTAAACAGAGAGGAACAGGAAGGGAGACAAGATAGAGAGTAAAAAAAATATATGCTAGAATAGCTAACAAATATAACACATCAAAGGAAAAAAAAACCACTAGCCCCATGCTGAAACCCCACCCACTTCCCCAACCATAATACAATTTCAAGTGTACTAGACACAACCACTAGGAAAAGATGGTTATGGGGCAGCTCAGCAAATGTAGTAGAACCAGAAAAAAAATAGGGGGGTGGAGAAGAAAGAGAGAGGAGACGGTAAGGAAATCTAGAGAAAATGAGAGGATGGAGAGGAGACAACGAAGAGAAGAGATGGAACAGGAGGGAGTGAGGAAGGATGGAGAGATAAAGGAGAAGAGAGGGGTAGAAAAGATGATCAAAGGAGAGAGAAGGTGTGAAAGAAGTGAGGTAAGACATGGTTGGGGGTGAGGGGTTGGCGGTAAGAACACTGAGCGCCAAAAATAGAATTAGGAAATCTAAGTGAGGCCACTTTTAGGGTTCCCACCCTCTAGCAATGTGAATGTGGCCCTCGTCCATAAACAATGGTGCTAACTCCTACCGCCCCATACTTGTCTCTGCTCTGCCTGTGACTACAGTAATTTGATTTTTTCTGACATCAAAAAAATCATGGAAAATATCCACTAGACAAAAACTGGTTCATGCTGCTAACACCCCCCCCCCCCCCCCCCCCCCCCCCACACCATAACACAACTCCCTGTGAACTTGACAGTTACTAGGAAAAGAGTTATGGAGCAGCACATTTACATTTAAACAAGAAATAAAACTGGGGGAAAAGGGGGGAGAGAGAGACATGAAATGAGAGAGTAAAAGGGAAGATAAAGAGAAAGAAAAGATGAAGATCAGAGGAGAGGGAGAGAGACAATGCATGAGATGGGAAGGAGGGAGCAAGAGGTAGAAGAGTGAAAGAGGGAAGGAGAGAGAGGGTGGGGGGGGTAAGAGAACAGAAGAGGGAAACTATGGGGGTATTACAATGTTGATCGCCAAACACACTGTAAAGATAAACCAGGCCAAAAATAGAAATGGAAAATCCAGCTGACGTCACTCTGTTTAGCCCCACCATCTCCCAACGTAATCCTTGATTCTAGAAACCACGGCCATAAAGCTATTTATACTATTAATACTGCAGGACTCGCTAGAAACAGAGGCAAACACAACGGGGCTGCTCCTTCCCGCCCCATGCCATGCCACTGCTGTCTGTGTGTATCCATGGGTTGCAACACAGCCTCCCCTTTCCTAGCCTTTAACAAGCCATTTCGGCTGAAAATAGCCGATAATCAACTGCCCTCATACCTGAAACGACTGTAAACGAAAGTAGCCAAAACTAGCAAATTGTCCCCAAAAATCCCAACTGTCGAAAATTGCAGGACTTCGATGATCTTACTGTGCCGAACAAAATTCAAGGCTATTCAAGGTCAGAATGTCTTTTTTAAGGCCAAAATTAGGGCCGCAATTTCATGGCTAATTTCAAGTTTCCTGGTCGGCTACAAACCCTGTAACCAGTGGTAGCTTTGCTGCTTGGATGAGATAACATCTACAACAGAGCTTCTACAATAGTATCAAGTATCCATGGTCAAGACTACCAGAAGAGAGAGAATCAGAACCGCTTAACTCCACTGACACCTGAAGCGGTAAAAGAGGAACTGAAGAAGGCATCTAGTCTAAATAGTAATTATTAAATTTTTTGCTGTTTCTATTCTTTTCCTGATTTCTATTTGACTTCTGTCATCATCTGTTATTTCATGTCCAAGACACGAAAAACCTCAGATGCATATGCACTTCTAAAAAAAATCTTCAACAAAAATATAGTAGAGAAAAGGAAAGTGAAGATTATACATAAAAGGACAATAGTATCAAATTGGTACCATGTAATGTCCTGAGAAGTTAAGGCAGCCAGTGTCAATTAGTCTATAAAAAAAGATAAATCTAGCATCATATGTCCTATGGTCTGTTATTTTCTTACAATATTTTTCATTCCCAAATAAGAGCAAAGTAAAGTTTCTAATTTTAGGAGGTCACAGTATCCAAGGCATTCTATGAGTCTGCTAGTTGCAGTTGCATTAATCCTGGAAATTAAATCCCTGCGCAAGATTTGAAGCTGAGGTTGTATGGTGGTTAGTGCACTTGCTTACCAGATTCAAACATTCAAAGTGTGCAGAATCCGTTTTTACAAACAGAACCACTGGGACTGACTCCATACCATATGATATGTTTCAAATTAATTTTCAGAATGCCTGAAAAACTGTCAAGGAAGGAGAGTCTGAAGAGAAACTGACTACCCCAACACAATCAGAACGACATATATACTCAACCCAACTGTTTTGTACAGATTTCAGAGCCTAGAATACACATAGACCTAATACTTCACAGCTGTATCTTGTATATTTTGTATAGGACTACCTTTTAGCAGATGTTAATGCAATAAAGTTATATGTAGTATATTCAAGTATTGGTAATGTTATGGCAGATATATATATATATATATATATAAGCAAAGAATAGTAACACTGTGACCTACTTGAGGGAGAAAAAAAAAAAGAACAGACCCATTGTTTCCTTAAAAAGCATGTCTTTCAAAATCCGACTGCATTTACCTAGTGATGAGGCAGAGTGACTTTCTCTGAATAGTTTAATCATTCTTCCGAAAATTAGAAACAAGTACGGAGGCATGTGCGAAGCAAAATATACAGGACACACGATCGTCGATGACGGCGTTATTTGGGCTAAAACTGAACTTCTCAATCAACGCTCACACTGTTGCTCGGGCCTTAAAGAGTTAATGAGAACTTGTTACTTGTTTTAGCAGTCAATCCCCATTCTTTGGTCACATCATGAGAAGGATGGCATGGAAGACTAAGAAACAGCATGCTGGACAGCCTAGCATTGTGGTATGACAGAACACCTGTATCAGACATACTGGCATCATACAGGACAGAAGGCTGTGGGCAAACATGATGACCAATCTAACACAGTATGGATTAACTACAATAAAACCTGAAGTACTAGAAAACTATAGAAAGGCAACTGTTAGTTTCTAGAGACCATAGGGCTGTGCTGCTGGTTTGGGCAACAGTGTCTGCTATAAACCATAAGTGCTCTGCCACCAGTACCGACAGCTGATAAGAAACTGTCCGCCTGTGTCACCGTCTCCATGTAACTCCTTAGCTACAGCGAAGTTCCTCCATTTACCCTAGAGTATCAACTCTGGTACCCATCCCCTAGAGGCTGGGTGAACCCAGAGAACCGTCCGGTTTTGAACACTGACTATGGGCTGCAGCAAGATGCAGCTGGATTTGAAAGCGACTGCTATATATATATATATATATATATATATATATATATATATATATTATATATATATATATATATATATTTCAACGTTCGTCCTCTATATATATATATATATATATTTACGTTCTTCCTCTTATATATATATATATATATATATATATATAAGAGGAAGAACGTTGAAATTAAATGAAAGTATGATCATTTTTACTTTTAGAAACATCATTACGATTAAATTTAGGCTGTCAATGAGGATAATGATATTTTACCTACCGCTAGATCCATTTCTGAAAAGTGGTGACTTCTGCCATGAATTAGAGATCCTGTTTTCACCCTGATTTTTTGGAAAGTTTTCAGGAGGATTTCTTTTACCAAATGTTATTAGCTGGACAGACTGTGCATCTCCCCGATCAACCATCGTGCTGTCTGATATGCTTACAGCAATGCTGAATACTAGTAGTATTGCTATGTTCAAATGTCACATTGCTCACTCTTCAGTGTACTTTCTGCAATTCCAAAATGACTATATAAAGTAAAAGCATATCCATATGAACTATATAATCACACAAACATTGACACTAAATGAAGATACAGCAGAAACGTAATTTCATCTGACATGTATGCAGTCTTGCGTCAAAATTAAGTACCATGTATATGTATAATATTTTCATAGCAGGGGCGCCACCCATACAATATGAAGGGGGGGGGGGGGGAGCCTTGGCCATTTCACACATTATCTAAGAAAGAGAGCAGTCAGCCCCTACACCTACACTGCAGGAGGTGGGGGGGGGGGGCACATAAAGTTCAATCCCCCAGGTTCTAATGCCCTTGGTTCATAGTTGCTATAACTTTGCCCTGTTGTGGAGTTGTGTAATTAAAATTTGCTATTTTGTAGTGACTTCTTCTTGAAAATGAACAACCTTTATAGCAGTAATCATTGGTTAAGTTTTGATTGTTAAATGACAATTTCCTTTACTCAATTGAGTCAATGACTCTTGCTGGGTCACACAGGGAGTCAAAACTCAAAGAAAACAAATAAAGCTAGCTGCGTGTCCTTTTTAGTTTACAAAACTTACAGAACATTGAGACTTTGCAAAAAAGAACCAACCACAGGTGACAGCACTTGTTGGCTGCAGTTTGTTTGTTGTCACCATTTGTGATTTAACTAGGCACGTTAACTAATCAGTCGGCTCTCGAGACCAAATTGAAACCAACACAAGGCACAAGGCGATCTGGTGCCAAATCGCCTGCAGCTGGAGTCAAGCCTGGCACGAAGCTTGCTTGCTTGTTGTACACCACCAGCACATCACACAAGCGATAAACACCCGGTTACACACAGTACCCGATGCAGATGAGACATCACCGTGGAGAGGTCCCAGAAACCCTTTTAGCCTTCAGGCCATATCTATAGCTAGGCCGCTAGGCCATATCTATGGCTAGGCCATATATCTATGACCCGGCTATATTGATATAATATATCATATATTCAGTCAGGGCCCCCGGCAAAAGCCAGGGTGGGGCTTCAAATAAACGAAACATTTCATCCCACATGGGGACGACAGAATGTAAAGTACTTATAATGTGTCACAAAATTCAAAAACGTCGATTACGATTTCAAAAAAGGAAAGGAAAGAGGAAAGGTAAACTGTTTACTAAACATCGTTTTTTATAAATTTAAATTAAATTAAAAATAAAATAATAATTATATCATATAATATATGCCTGCACTAGTGGAGTGGTGGTGCACTAAATTCACAAAACTGCGTCACAATATGCACACAAGCAGTAAGACAATAATACATGTACTCACTTTAAATGTGTTACTTGTGGTTCACGGAAAATAAGGGTGAGAAACTTATCCAACTTTCACCTGCAAAATCAAGGTTCTGCAAGATCTAACAAAATTGTCTCCCCTTAGGTGCTGCCAGGTTTTCCCCAGGAGAGATTTTAAAGCACAATATAATGATAAAGCTGAGGGGACCTACTTCAGTCATTCATTTATTCATTCAAGTAGAGAGGATCTACTTCCTTGATCTGAGTTTGTATCTCATTTATTATTCGTCTGTCTTCGCAGAACAGAAAGGCTAGCTACCTGTCTAGAGCATCGCGCACGCGCGCTCGCACGTACACTCGCACACACACACACACACACATATATATATATATATATATATATATATATATATATATATGTACGCATACACACACACACTCACAAAACATAGCTCTAGTGACGACCCCCCCGCCCCCCCCCCACCCCACCGCACCCAGATCTCCGTAAAACTGTACTGACGAAGGGAACGACACGTGTTTGAAACGAACTTGCGACCTTCACTGCGCGCTGCAAACAGATCGACCATTTCACCTCGAAGAAACACTACGTAATAGAAATTATTGAAATACGCAGTGTGGGGTATCTAATTCACAACGAACAATGTGTAAACGGAGGAATATTCTTATAAAATTACAAATTGCATACAGGTTGAAAAGAAATGATTATACGATGATAAAATAGCAAATGTATACACTGATAATCCAATGCACACTTTAAATCACAATTATAATCTAGAGAACTGAACTAAATAATAAGATTACCACTACTACAACCACCAAAACCACTCCACCGCCACAACACTTCCAATTCGGTAATCATGTTGGAAAAACAACAACGAGATAACGCAGTCACTACCGCATTCCTGTTCTTTTCTAATCGCCATAAAGATGGACTGGGGGTGGGGGTGGGGTGGAAACAAATAATACCCGACCTACTGCAGATCCAGGCAAACTACAAATAAATGTATTTGTTCAACTATCATTGCTAAAGATTTATGGAGTAAACTAAAGAACTATAGTTAGTGGTAGTAATTTGTCAAAAATATCCTGGTCAGCCATCAGGGTTATAATCGAGTTCTCAGAGTATACATAGGGGGCTGCTTGGTATAAGCTGGGATTTTTTCAGATGGACTTCTAGTATTTCCCTCTTGTCTCTGTGTAGTGAGATCGCACGCCCGTGTGCATTGTTGCGCACGTAAAAAATCCCTTGGCAGTCGAAAATCTAAAAGAGTAGCCCAACGGCGCTGCCCGGGCTAAAATTTGGAGTTAAAAATTTACTCAAGTATTTCAGAATCCTCGTCGGTACTGAACTTCTTCGGACTCAGACTTGAGTTAGAAGAGTTGAGTTGAGTAAAGAATAGACATCACGGCACTCAGGGCATTCCCATGCGTGCTCTGTCCTCATCTTCAGCAGCCAGCGCAGCGTTCTAATACTGATGGTACTGGTCATAATCTGCTTATATGTCCGTCTTGCCTTTCCTCTGAGTGTAGAGAACCGGTCAGATCCTCTAGTTACACCTAGGTGCATCATTCTCTTCAGGCCATAATAATCCATGAGCTAGAAGTTAGAAATGAGTTAGAAGAAGAACGGAGCACTTATGTGTTACCACCCGTGTGCCATGATGTTGTCCCGTTATTCAACACTTCAAAAACCTCAACCTCAGAGTATAAATGTGTTATTTTAGATTGATGTATCGAGTAATTATTTATATAACCGACGTGTAGTTTGTTTTGTTAGATATATTGCTTTTTTTTTTTGTTTTTTGTTTTTGTTTTTGGGTTGTGGTTATGATAGAAACTGTATTATGAAAAATTAGAAAATCTTACTAACACTGTGTCATTACCATGTTGGTTTTATTAAACCCTTTTTGTAATAGTTAATTATTCTTCTCGATTTTTATCTTGAGGGGCAACTTCTTAAAAAATGGCATGGACATTCTTAACCCTTCAATATATAGATTTTAGATCTTGTAATAATCAATTGCTTGACCTTACCACGCAGGTCTCCAGGAATTTTATGTGCAACAATTTTTCCATCGTCATAAGTAATTTACACAGATTCATATATAAATAATTTACAACGATTCATATTTAAGTAATTTACAGCGATTCATATAGTCAGTTAACGGTTTCCTTTGGTTTTCATATTTCCCTTACACCAGTGAATAGTGCTCTATATTACTGTATTTCTGGCATAGATTACAGGTCTCTTCCTGTATAACAAAACAGCCCCATCCATGCTGTGTTCTAAGCAATTGTCGATTGCAATGTATTTTGAAATCATATGTTGCCTGACTTTTAGCAGCATTTAACAACTTATATGAATGTTACCCTTTCAGCTTTAGTCCCAATTAAAGGACAATTCCTCCGATACACTTTTTTTTTAATCTGTGACTTGAAATTAAGCCAGTGGTAAACATCGAGCGTTGGACAGCAAACTTTTCCTCTTCACGGAGTTTTACTGAAAAAGTGGAATTTGATGATAATGATGATGTGCGCTCTCACGTTGACCCATGTGCCTGTTCTGTGAATTCCAGAGAAATTTGACTAAAAAGCTCAACAAAATGGGAAAAAGGAAAACGTGCACAAAACAACACAACGTAACGTTTCGGCCAGGCAGCCTTTTTCAAACACAAGTGGACTACACAAAAGAGGAATGGAGAGTATGTAGATCTCTAAGGGGTGACGTGAGCGACGTTTAAAAAATGTGATGCGGAATAAATGAAATAAAATAAAATAAACTATGGCTTAAAAAATATAGTCACAATACTGGGAATAAAAGAAATGCAAGTGTTAATGATACATAAATGATATTGATAAGAAATAGAATATGGTAATAATATGAAATAAAATAAAATAATTAACATTTAAAATGTAATAAGATTAGAACTATTTAGATGAAGGTATGTTGGATATTGATACCTCTTGGACTAAGAACGCCAAGGCTGTGGATAAGGCGATTTTCCAAAGCGAGGCGGGTAGTATGATCGCCAGAGCAAGATTTTAATGCTGTGACAGATATGTCATCTTTACCGCTGTGGTCAGGGCTATTAAAATGAAGAGGGATTGGTTTGAGTGTCTTCTTGTCGATATCAGAGAGGTGTTCCCGGAAACGATCAGCTAGCTTCCTGCCAGTCTCCCCAATGTATGCCATGCTGCATCGTTTGCAGATAATTGCATAAATTACGTTGCGGGATTCGCAAGTAAAAGGTTCCCTAATTTGAAAAGACCATTAGGGAAACTGACCGAAGAAGTCTGGACAACGAAAGGACATGTTTTGCAGGTGCTGCGTGAGCACTGAGTAGTCCCAAGAGGAAGTGCTGTATGGATCGGTGGGAGTCGGCTTCGGACAAGTATGTCTTTAAGGTTGCGATCTCGTCTGTAAACTAATCTAGGTTTCTCACTGAAGATAATCTTGGTGTCCGGATCAGAGCGGAGGATGTCCAAATGACGAAAGAATACTTTGGAAGCAACCACATTGTTAGGGTGAAAAGTCAAGATCAATTTAGGTCCCTCCTTGGTGGAGTTACGTTTGGTAGGAAAAGCATCTCTCCTGGTGATTGCTAAAACTTTGTTTAGAGCCCC